TGGGGGAACTGGAGTTGACCTGGCTTTTCCCAGAAGACTGCTATGCTTATCCCAAACCCCATCGCCTTCCAAGGCCTGACAAGGTGAGTCAGTATGAGAAACCTCAAACATCTTTTAATCTAGATTTAATTTTCCCAGCTTGGATAGACAGACATCAGGGAAATAGTTCCATGGGAGCAAACATGAATAGGCAGCTGCCAGGCGATGCTAACCCACGTGGGATGTTGGTATGGCCATCGCATGGCATCTGGCCACCATCACTCAGCAGTCTCAACCTCAGGTAATAGCTCCAAAGTCCAATGCTCCCAAAGGCCCCTCTGCCACCCCTTCCAGTCCCAAGTGGGATTTCTCCATGTTTAGCCATTGATTCAGAATTATTTACCCCACCCCAAGAAAATAATTTCTGTGGGTGAATCTGGCCCTTAGCCCAACAGAGCAGGCCCTCTGGGTCCTGTCCTCAGGTGACATGTGAGGAGCCGGGGCAGGGGACTGTGGTCACTCCAAGGCCTGGAATGCTGCCCATCAGACCCTGCTTCCTTCGGGTCCAAGTGTGGATTCACTGTGTCCCCAGTCAGTGAACCAAGAGTCACCTGAACCATCCTTTGGTCTGACCCATTGCCTCCAGCTAAGAAGCAGAACATTGTGCACTGAGGACCCTTTCATTTGCCGTAAAGTCCGTGATTTCTTCAAAGCCTGCGTTGCGATACCTTTCTCCATAGATTCATTTACTTAGAATTTGGAAAATGTGCACAGATGCCCAACTACTCGTCTGTCTTCATTTCACTCCTAGTCTCTAGCTTGACACAGAGACACACACACACTCACACACACACACACATACACCCCTTGCCTCCTCACTAGAGACCACATTCTGCTTCAGTTAAAAAGGCCCTGCACCTGTGTGTGTGTGTGTGTGTGTGTGTGTTGTGTGTGCAGTAGTTACAATGCCTATCTGACAGTTCTGAGTATAAAAGCCACATATCAACACTGAGCTGAGTCGACACTCACTCTGTATGAACACAATGACAATGGCACTGGGATCAGATTCTGCCCTACTAAAAGAGAAAACAATTTTTTCAGAAAAAAATTAAGATTGTGAAAGTCACATATGCCAGGAAAATGTAAATTTCACTCTTCCTGCAACACTGATGGGAAATTCATTGCACCCTTTCATCTAAGACCAAAATGCTCAATGATCAGAACTGACATGAGTCATGATTCCTGCCATAGGCTGATGAGATGAAATGCACTCGTCGGCCCCAGATTGATAAAAAGTGCAGCTTCAGTAACACGCCAGCCCTCCGAATGACAGAGCCGTTTCATGGGTTTTAGAAAATAGGAGATGAGTCTGATGTGCTAAAATCTTATCACCATCATTCCACCCACGCCTTCAGGCAACATTAAATGTGGAATTGTGATTTTTAAGAATAAAGACTTGGAACAGGCAGGAGGATTCTTTGCTCCTGGAGATATGGGAGTCTTCAGGACGTGGACCCTGCTGAGTTCTCCTCTGGGACCATGGGCATTGGGTGAGATGAGGCACTGACCTTCCTGTCTGAGCTGCAGAGGTCTGCTGGCACTGACCACCCCCACTATTGATATGCATCAGCCCTGGGTTATTGACCTGAAGACGTGGGTTATGCCGGTCTGTGCTTTTGCCACAAATAAGTTACACAACTTTAGAGACTCACCAAACCATTTTCTGCCTTCCTTGGCCAATAGGCATCATCATGTCTGACCCCTGTACTCACATAATTATTGTGGGGAAGATGTCAGTGATAGAAATCGTGAACACACTGGTCTTCAGTGAATCTTATTTTGGTCTCTAACCCTGATGCTGGGAAAGACTGAGGGTAGGAGAAGAAGGAAGCGACAAAGGATGAGGTGGTTAGAAACATCACTGACTCAATGGACATGAGTTGAGCAAACTCTGGGAACTGGTGAAGGACAGGGAACCCTGGCGTGCTGCAGTCCATGGGGTCACAAAGAGTCGGACACAACCGAGTGACTGAGCAATAACAACAGCCCTTGGAAGTGTTGAAACATTAGAGAAACTGTATTTTTATGAATTAAGAAACAAACTCCAAAGAAAGAGACATATACCTATGAGAACTAGAAATTGAGATGAGCAGTTTATTTGGAAGTGCTAACTATAATAAATTAGAACACTTAATCATGTAACTGATATCTATGTGCTCACTTTGAGCTAAGCCCAAAGAAAGGCAATGCCAAAGAATGTTCAAACTACCACACAATGGCACTCATCTCACATACTAGCAAAGTAATGCTCAAAATTCTCCAAGCCAGGCTTCAACAGTTCCTGAATCATGAATTTCCAGATGTTCAAGTTGGATTTAGAAAAGGCAGAGGAACCAGAGATCAAATTGCCAACATCTGTTGGATTATCGAAAAAGCAAGAGAGTTACAGAAAAACATCTATTTCTGCTTTATTGACTATGCCAAAGCCTTTGACTGTGTGGATCACAACAAACTCTGGAAAATTCTTCAAGAGATGGGTATACCAGACCACCTGACCTGTCTCCTGAGAAATCTGTATACAGATCAAGATGCAATAGTTAGAAGTGGACATGGAACAAGAGACTGGTTCTAAACCAGGAAAGGAGTACATCAAGGCTGTATATTGTCACCCTGCTTATTTAACTTCTATGCAGAGTACATCATGAGAAATGCTGGACTGGACGAAGCACAAGCTGGAATCAAGATTGCTGGGAGAAATAGCAATAACCTTAGATATGCAGGTGACACCACACTTAGGGCAGAAAGTGAAGAAAAACTAAAGAGCCTCTTGATGAAAGTGAAAGAGGAGAGTGAAAAAGTTGGCTTAAAATTCAACATTCAGAAAACTAATATGGCATCTGGTTCCATCCCTCCATGGCAAATAGATGGGGAAACAATGGAAACAATGAAAGACTTTATTTCTCAGGGCTCCAAAATCACTGAAGATTGTGACTGCAGCCATGAGATTAAAAGACGCTTGCTCCTTGGAAGAAAAGCTATAACCAAAATAGACAACATATTAAAAAGCAAAGACATTACTTTGCCAACAAAGTTCCATCTCGTCAAGACTATGATTTGTCTAGTAGTCATGTATGGATGTGAGAGTTGGACTATAAAGAAATCTGAGCACCAGAGAATTGATGCTTTTGAACTGTGGTGTTGGAGAAGACTCTTCAGAGTCCCTTGGCAAGGAGATCCAACCAGTCCATCCTAAAGGAAGTCAGTCCTGAATATTCACTGGAAGGAATGATGCTGAAGCTGAAACTCCAATACTTTGGCCACCTCATGCTAAGAGTTGACTCATTGGAAAAGACCCTGATGCTGGGAAAGATTGAAGGCAGGAGGAGAAGGGGACGACAGAGGATGAGATGGCTGGATGGCATCACAGACTCAATGGACATGAGTTTGAGTAGGCTCCAGTAGTTTGTGATGGACAGGGAAGCCTGGCGTGCTGCAGTTCATGGGGTCGCACAGAGTCAGACACAGCTGAGTGACTGAACTGAACTGAACTGAACTGGGCCAAACAAAATCACAAAGCCTATATTCACTTACATGTTAAAGTTAAACATACACAGACAGATCTGCTGGAGCACAGTGGTTAATTGATTACTTGTATGTTATCATATTTCATCACATTAAAGAAATTATCAAATTTAATGGATAGCATTATTTTCTATACCACACAAATCTTTAAATGGTCAGCACAGACCCACATCTGTCAAAATTTCTAAAAAATCAGAATGAACTTTTTCTCTTCTTTTTTTGTTATTTTTAGATGAGTCGATTTTCTCTGAATGAGATAAATCCCATTTCTGCCAATTTTGACACAGTTTTCAACAATTGTCTGCTCTATAGCAGTTTCCTCTCTTCAAAACCACTGAAAATGAAATCACAGAGCCAGCCGTGCGCTCTGTTGTGGTCTCTCCGCGTTTTCCTCCTGAGCTGACTCAGAACCACCCCTAGTTCTCCCTTGGGTCTCCTGGACCCAACCCATTGCCTCATTTAACCATTTTCCCCATCACTTCTCTGGCTCACTTCCCCACTTGTAAGAAATGTTTTGTTTCCACATTTGCTAAATCCACACATGGCTATAAATTTGGCTCTGGCTGAAAACAGCTGCAAGGTGAGCTGAAGATGAAGCGGGGGATCCAGAGAGGAGCTGCTCAAACAGCCTCTCCTGCTATGACCTGAACTGGGAACAGGCCAGTGGTGTGGACCTGGAGATGTCCCACCATGGACAGAAAGGGCTGGAGTCAGGCCTCACTTCCAGCCTCACATGTGCCATAAAACGTGCCCTTTGCCAAGCAGTTACTGCCTCTGCCAGCTCAAGACAGGATGAACAGAAGCTGCCAGGGAAACCGAGGGGAAACCCCGCAAGTGTTGGCCCCACGGAGCGAGTTCCTGTTGCTCCATCAGATGCCCTATCTCTCACTGCAGAGCATGGTTTCCAAGAGCAAAGCAGAGTGCAGAGAGCAGGTGCTGAGCCACTGCTCCGGAGAGGCTATGCTGGGAGCCAGTTCCCATTACTGCTTCCCAAAAACAAAAATAGATGCTCTTAGTCAGCCACAGACATTCAGTAATGACTCCAGCACCCTCAGCAGGTAACCACTGTGACACCTGAGTGCCACGCCAGAGGACACACCCACACCCCTCTTGCCAACACAGAAAGAGGGATGGAGGAAAAGAGGGAGGGAGGGAGGAAAGAAAGAAAAGAACAAAGAAAGCAAAGAGAAAAAATAACTGGCACTATACGAATAGAAAATATAAAAGTGACTGCAAGGAAATGCTCGAGGTGTGACACCCATTGTTGTGGCTCAGTCTAACATGTGCAAACAGTTCACGATCTCTTAACACCTGTGTGCACATTTTTCAGCTCACTCCACATTCTTCTTAAATTTTGGTTAGGACAGCTCTGCAAACATTCTTTCTGTCACCTGCCAGTCTGCCCAGAGGTAAACCAGAGCAAGCCACACACACATGTATCACCAGTAGCCCGAGGTCCTAGACACTGACCGCGATGGCTGAGGCAAGAGACGCTTCAGGAACGTTTGGCCCCCCTTGTGCTCAGAAGGTTTACTCACTGGGCAGAGCAGAGACGTGTCTGACATCAGGTCTGTGCGGCACCAGCAGTGATCAGTGATGAATGATGATTGGAACATCGTGTATAAAAGATTAGCAATAGACTTTTCTGTGTCAGAGCTGTCCAGGGTAGCAGCCGCCAGCTCCATGTGGCTACTGACATTCAGAAAATTAGAAATTAAATGGAAGTCAGCATTCAGTGCATCGACCACAGGTGAAGGGTGGCATGAGGCTCCCGACTGCCTCACCAGGCCTGGCAGAGGAAGTTGCGCCATCATGAAGTTTCCCTGGGACCCCCGTCCCAACACTGACCACCTGGGTCCCCCGTGCCCTCGGGGCCACCATGGTACTGTCCGGCTTTGCATTCTCCCGCCTTCTTGCAGAAGGTCAACTTTTTTTTTTTTGTAACTTGTCTCCCTTTCATTTGTTATTTTGGCTCCTGCTTTTATCAAGATGACAGTCGTGGTGCTGTTTTAGGATAAGTGAAGATGCAGCCCTGCGAGGCATCAGGATGCAGTCAGAGCTCCCCCACCCCTGAGAACAGGGCAGAACACCAGGGTGGGCTGCTGTCCAGAATATCCTGACCTCACCTCACTCCCGACTCCCCGTGATTAATTGGTTTATTGATCTGTTGGAGTCTGGGGTTTGCTGGCTTGCTTGCATTTCAGAGCTAGTACTTTCTGAGCCCCTGGGGGTAAGTTCCAGATCACAAAAGTCATACTGAAGATTCTGGGATCTTTGAGTTGGGGCAGGAGCTGTGGTGACTCCTACCTATTCAGTTCAGTTCAGTTCAGTTCAGTCACTCAGTGGTGTCCAACTCTTTGCAACCCCATGAATCACAGCACGCCAGGCCTCCCTACCAACTCCCGGAGTTTACTCAAACTCATGTCCATCGAGTCAGTGATGCCATCCAGCCATCTCATTCTCTGCCATCCCCTTCTCCTCCTGCCCCCAATCCCTCCCAGCAACAGGGTCTTTTCCAATGAGTCAACTCTTAGCATGAGGTGGCCAAAGTATTGGAGTTTCAGCTTCAGCATCAGTCCTTCCAGTGAACACCCAGGACTGATCTCCTTTAGGATGGACTGGTTGGATCTCCTTGCAGTCCAAGGGACTCTCAAGACCTGTTACTGAGATTTAAATAATTCCCTTCAATCAGCACTCACATTAGTCAAGATCTGTATTTTACACAATCAATTGCCACTCCTGTGAAGTGAAGGATTCCTTCTGACCTTTCAGTCCTATTGGAGAAGGTATGTTAAGTCCCACCTTTGCCCGCCCGCATCACACTTATTTTTAACTTTCAAAGGAGGGCTGCATCCATTATTCAAAGCCCCTTCCTGAAGATCTGGGACAGATCCCACTCTGGATATCACCCTCAGAAGCTGTAATTTGCCGAGCCCCCAAGCAGAACTTTTTTCTGCTTTGTTAGGGTTTTTATCCATCACTTCCATTCCCTGAATCAGTGAGAGCAATCATTATCACAGAGAATCGTGGACATGACTGTACGGAGGAGTTGATGCTGGTCTTGAATTTGTGATGCCTTGTTTATTCTTCTAATCGCCTCAGTTTACATCCCATCTGCTGAGTTAGAGGGGTTTATTTTCCTTCTTTCTATCAAGATTGAGTGATGAGTGTGTGTGTCTGTGTGTCTGTGGACATGTACTTCAGCTTTCATTCACAGCTTTTCAGGATAAAATGAACCTCATTGGTCTCAAGGTATTTCTCCATTTTGCCACCTGTAAGAAAAGATGATTCCATAATAGATGTCTGTTTATTTTTATCCCTGTGTGTGTGTGTGTGTTAATTGCTCAGTCATGTCTGACTCTTTGTGACCCATTGGACTGTAGCCCACCAGGTTCCTCTGTCCATGGAATTCTCCAGACAAGACTACTGGAGAGGGAATTCTCCAGGGGATCTTCCTGATCCAGGGATCGAACCCAAGTCTCCTGGATTCCAGGCAAGTTCTTCACCATCTGAGCCACCAGGGAAGCCCACTTTCATCCCTAAAAATATCCACCGTGGTATTAAAGCAGCAACAAGTTCATGGTGGCATCTGACAGCAGGAGTAGCTGATGGCAATGACTGCGGGCACAGCATCCTTTCCTCGCATCACTGTGCGATCTCTGTAGAAAGCCTGTGTCTCACTGATCCAAGGGCACCATGTGGACAAGGGCCATTTTCATCAAGTTCACCAAATCCCCAGTGCACAGCTTACGGCTCTCATCCATAGCAATAATTATGGTTTGCTTTTGAAGTAGCCAACGCAAAAATGATTCTTCTTTAGTTGTTATTTTAGTTACTACTTCTATCAAAATGACAGTCATGCATGGGTTCTAACAATATAATCTAGTATTTTTTACGAATTTCACTTGGGAATGAATGCAGGGCTTTCAATAAAGGAAGAAGGACTTTTTAATGAAAGCTTTGGAAAAATAAATTGTTGAAAAGAATGTGAAGAGCACTGTAGACCGAGTTTATACTGATCTACCCAATAAATGTAACACCATTCAGTAGCTTGTCTTTTAATTTTATCAATGGTTTTCTTTGCTGAGCAAGTATTTTTAAGTTTAATTAGATCCCATTTGTATTTCTGCTTTTCTTTCCTTTGCCTGAGGAGACAGAATCAATTTCTGTCACGGTGTCCCACCTACGTTTTCTTCTAGGAGTTTCATGGTTTCCAGTCTTCCATTTGTCTTTAATCCATTTTGAGTTTATAGTTGTGTATGGTTTTAGAGAACAATCTAATTTCATTCTTTGACATGTAGTTGTAGAGTTTTCCCAGTGCTGCTTCTCTGTCTTTTCTCCATTGTATATTCTTGCTTCCTTATCATAAATTAATTAATGGACAACCAGTGAATGGGTTTATTTCTGGGCTTTCTTTCCTATTCCATTGATCTACGTGTCTGTTCCATGCCAGTACCATGCTGTTGTGATGACAGTAGTTTTGTGGGATTGTCTAAGTCAGGGTGTGAGGCTGGACCACACTGATTCCATCCTGTCAGCTCCATCTCAGGTCCCCTGTCCCACCCCTGCCCTGAGGTTTGCTCCCCCGATCCATCACCCCTCCCCAAATGAAAGGCCCCCCTCTGAGCAGACTGGTCAGTGCGGAAGCCCCCTAAGCTGTGCTTCCCTCTGTGGACCAAAGCCCCCAGAGGATGGGGCCAAGGCTTCTGCTTCTACACTGAGCCCTTGGCGCAGGATGACAACACACATCAGCACATGACTCTTTGGGCTCAAAGCTGCATGAGATAAGAGTTTCGAGTCAAGAAAGGAACATTGACAGTGATGGGCAAAGAGAGGTAAAAAAGTAAAAATAACAAATACCTACTAGGGAAGAAATGCCTGTGGAATGGGTCTGGATAGTAAGTGCCTGGAAGCACAACAATCACATTCGAAAGGGACGTTCATATCCTCTTCCCAAGAAATCATGAGGAGTGGGAGCCTTTACCTTAAACAAATGTCTCCCCCAGGAAGAGGGACAAGCACATTGACAGAGACATTTAGAATTAATTGTGCTGGAGAAGTGATTTTTAAAATTCCACCGGGAGCTATAATTCTCTGGCAACAATATCAACTCAACAAAATGTTTCTAGTTCTAATTTCATAGGACCGGATGAAGTTCTTATTTTTATTCCCTATATGTGTATATATATTTAACTACCATCTTCTGAACTTTAAAGAGAGCTAAAAATTGGGAAAGAAGTGGTAGATATCTTTGAGAAAATATGCATGATTTTAGAAATTTTGGTTCTCACATCACAAATGAAATATTACAGAACAATAAGGTTAACAAAAAGCCAGCATCTTCATTCATAAAATCTGCCTTAAGAAAGAGCCTTATCTTACTGACCCATTTATTCCATCATGAGTGTTTACTGCACATTCATCTGGATTCAGTGTTGAGTTCCGATGGGCAGGGCCTGCTAGGGGCCCCGCCCTGTTTGTCACCACCAGCTTCCATCTAATATGCATATTTTTATCTGAAAGTTGGAGTCAAAATACCTGCTCTGCTTACTTCACAGAGAATGGAATAGATGATTAGGTTCAAAAAAAAAATTAAATAACTCTCCTGGCATGCCAGATGATTTTATGTGATGGTAGAAGAAAGACACTAAAATATTTATGCGACAGATAAAACCTAATCTATGATTAAGTGCTCAAAACAGCAATACATACAGAAAGTGCCAGGGGCTTTCAGAAAATGGGGGCCTGGGGGGAGTGCCAGGATAGGCTGCTCCGGATAAGCAGGTACAGCTACCTAAAGACTGACTTAGTGTCTCGCAATGCACTTTTATCTCTAACCCAGATCTCCACCCGACATCTTCACCCTGTTCCCACTGGTCTTGTCCCCAGAGGAACCTGCCAAGCTCCCTGCTGGCATGAAGTCAGCCTTCAGTCTTCCTGCCATTTGGACTCAGGACCCAGCACTGCTCAGGGAAACCTGGTTGGCATGCCCCATCAGTCTGAGATCTGGTCTCAGGAGAGTTTTGCTCGTGACCACTCCCAAAATTCCATAACGCTCTGGTTTCTCAGACTGCCCTCCGCAAACCAGGAAGCCGTCCTGTCACAGGCCTCCCCACCGTCCTCACCATCTCCATCCTAATAGCTTCACTTACAGGGTTAAGTTCTCCACAAAGAAAACACATACTCACATTGCAACCACGTGACTTCACGGGCTTGGAAATTCTTTCCAGTTTTCCTAAGGATATCTTGTGATATTCAATACTTTTACTTTTTGCCAATAGAGTGTCTAAAAGAATGTAACTTAGGAACCCCTAGATCAAGGAGACACATAGGGCACAGGGTACAGAAAGGATGAGTGTGTCTGTGGCCTCTCTGGACCCCACTCTTCCCAAATCTTCATATATTCACCAGTCTCAAAGCTCTTGAAACCCCATCCTTTGGGTCTTTTACAGGCTTTTTATGGAGGCAGAGCTGGGAAATGACTCACTTTCTGAAAATCGCACTTCCCTGATCAGATCAAGGCTCCCTACTGATTTATAGTTCTGGGGTGATGATTCAGGGGTGAAGAGGTTACACCCCAAAATATGTGGAATGGGCACACTAGTTATTTTGAACTGAGGGTATTTGCACATACAGGAAGGGCTTTCTAATCTCCCATTTTCCACCCAAAAGTCAAATTCCATGAGAGGGGTGTCCTCCCTGGACCAAGAGGACAGAAGACTACTACTATTGCCAGAATGAACCTATACAAACAACCTGCTAAAATAGCCCTAATCATCTACTATACACGGGTCGGCATATCTCCTAGTCCCTGCCCCACAATTTACCACCCCCCCAAACTTCTTTTTTTCCTTTGTCCCTTCAGTCTCTAAAATTTGTCATTCTTTGTTAAAATGGTATCTAATTTGTCATGCCTATCTGCTTCTCTGAATTTTTATTTCTTATATAGGAAGGACTCTGTATACACACAGAAAATTTACATTGAATAAAATATGAATGTTCTTCTCCTGTTAATCTGTTCTTTACTCAGTTTAATTTTCAGGCCCAGGTACAGAACCTAACAGGGTGGAGAGAAAGTCTTTCCTCCTCTGTGATTCCAAGGACAAGCTCATCTGACTATCAAAGACTGTAATGATCTGACACCAGCCAAAATTCAGAAACGCTCCCATCAAAATGACTTTTCTTCTAAAAGTATCCATCAATGATCATTCCCCAAATACATTTTTTTCTTGATTGCCATACTTTATGCACTTACTTTAATTTGCTTAAGCAGGTGTTATGATTATAAATTGGCTCTTGATTATCCACAGAGGTATTATCTTCCAATGCTTTCTGAAAATAACTAAGCAGAAGCGGTAACTGGGTTGTTTATTTTCCTTCACTTTATTCTGCTTGGTCTCTTACTTTTCTGGTTCCTGTGGCCTATGCGGGATGGGGGGTTAGAAGCTGAAATTCTCTATCCCCTGAAAGAAAGACAGAATAAACTTAGGAGGCAAGAGAGCTCCCAGCAGCTTTGCTCGAGGTGCTGGAACTATGAGCGAAAAGGGGGCTCAAGCAGGATGGCTTCCCAGAGGAGGGAGTCCCAGCAACCCTGTGTTTGGCTCCAGGCTGCAGGTTCAGAGCTGTTCGTTAGTTTATCATGTAATGCCTTCCCAAGCAGCCATCGAGAAGCCACCTTGCAGAGAGAGCTGAACAATGTGGGAGGATTCTTCATTCCACTGTCTCCTCAGTAGTGTGAAAATGGAGGAAGTGGCTTGGTGCCAACAACTCCCAGTACTGAGAGAGCCACCTGGGCACCTCGGCCAAAATGTCCTGTCTTCTTCCTACGAGGGTGGGGACCTGTGCTCAGTTCACTGAGACACACGTTGTGACCAGTGTCTCTATGCTGGGGGCCTGTCTTAGTCCCTCTGGGCTGTTATGGTAATACACCACAGACTGGGCAGTTGAACAGCAGACCTGCTTTTCTCCCAACTCTGGAGACTGGACGTCGATGGTCAAGGTGCAGGCAGATTCAGCATCTGGTGAGGACAGCATCTTCTCCCTGTATCCCCGCCTGGAGGAAGGGGCAGGGGGCTCTCTGGACCTCTTCCATCAGGATGCTGATCCATCCTGGGGGCTCCACCTTCATGGTTTTGTGACCAGAGGCTCCACTCCCGACACCATCCCACTGTGGTTAGGAGTCTACAACTGAACTGTGTGGGGATACAACAGTTTACAGCAGGCTCTGTGACACAGCCCTGAGAATAAGCCTGGCGGCCCCGTGTGAGAGACAGGGATAGGGGTGTGAAGCCAGCTTGGCCAGGGGGCCACCCACCGGCCTAGAGAGGGTGCAGGACCACCTGAGAGGCTGGTGTCCCTTGGGGGCTCAGCCCCACCTTCCAGTTGGTCACTCCTGTGACTGGCCTTTCATTTCCAGAAACGTGCTCACCTTTTCTTCTGGGGTCAGGCTGATCGGCTGCAGGGCTCCAAGTACAGGAGGCATGTAGGCATCAAAACAATGGTAGACCACCCATCCATAGCAGAGCAAGGATTGGAGGGGAGAGAGACCAGGAAGCCTAGTCCAGGCAGTGGGAAGACTGAGGTCACAGCTTCCCCTGGGGCCTATGGGCACATCCTCAGCGAGGGCAGGAGACCTGGGGCCATCCGGCTGTGACCTGGTCTCTAGAGCATCCCCACGACCCTCTGCTGAGCCTTCCTTGTAACCTATGGAGTAACCTCCTTCCTCACAGGGGTCCTCATGGGCTGCCCCAGGCAAAGGTCAGTCCAGTGGGAGAGAGGGAAAAAGAGAGGCTGGGGGGTGGGCCACTTGTGTGCAGTTTATTCGCTGGTTTGTGGAGGGAGAGGTTCCGAAGGTTAGAGGGGGAAGAGGTGGGAGAAAGTTCTAGAGAGAGAGAGATATCAAGAGAAACAGCCAGCACCCACCATGGAGGACAATAAGATTTTAAAATACATCAATGCCTGGATTCAGCTTTAATTAGTAAAGACGGTGAATTTCTCACAAATCCTGAGATGGAGTCAAGGGACATCTTATCTGGATGTCAAGTAAAAATGATGTCTCAGGCTGGGGGATTGATGATCATTTGGATTATACTAAAATTTATATCACATTCTTATTATAATGACCAAAATCTGAAAATACAGAATGCATTTGGTATATCCTAAGCACCAAGTCCAACCCACTCCAGTACTCTTGTGTGGAAAATCCCATGGATAGAGGAGCCTGGTAGGCTGCAGTCCATGGGGTCGCTGGGAGTCAGACACGACTGAGCTACTTCACTTTCACTTTTCACTTTCCTGCATTGGAGAAGGAAATGGTAACCTACTCCAGTATTCTTGCCTGGAGAATCCCAGGGACGGGGGACCCTGGTGGGCTGCCATCTATGGGGTCGCACAGAGTCGGACACGACTGAAGTGACTTAGCAGCAGTAGCAGCACCAAACACCAAGTCATTGAAAACCTATGGCAGAAGGGGGCTTGGATGGGAGGGACAGGGGACGGAGGTAGCAGAACACACCCTTCTTGTGTCCACCAGGCTGCAGCCTGACCCCAGGGGCTCTGGGGTGAAGGTCAGCCTGCAGTGGCCCCACCAAGGGGACAGGGGTATCTGTATCTGGCCTCAGGAAGGAGAATTTCAGAGCCCTCAGCTCCGCACCCTACAGCCCTTCCGGGGTGGGGAGGGGGGAACGACAACCCCACAGAAGAGTCTGCAGAAGAGCATGGACTATAAAACACACCAGGGAGCTGAGACTCAGATTTCATTTTATAATGATCTCCTTGCATTCTTTTTGTTTTTTTTTAAGACTTTTTTGATGTGGACCATTTTTAAAGTCTTTATTTAATTTGTTACAGTATTGTTTCTGTTTTATGTTTTGGTTTTTGGGCCCCAAGGCATGTGGGATTTTAACTCCCTGACCAGGATTTGAACCTGCGCCCTCTGCACTGGAAGGTGAAGTCTTAACCTCTGGACCACCTGGGAAGTTCCACCACTGCATTCATTTTTAAAGGTTACCTTGTGGAATTGAACAAAAATTATAGAAAATGTCAGTGAATCTTTATTTTCAAATATTATTGAATCATCTGGGACATCAAGCCTGAGAAATAAAGGGTTGGTTATTTTTGTCACAGTAAGTTTTTTTCAACCTTTAATTACCAATTACTGTAAACACTGAATGGCATGTGGATTTGATTTTGCTAATGATTTCAGGAAAGTAGCGATATTAGGTACACAAATAGAAGGACCGATTTAGAACTTAAACATATCATGAGAGACCTACACATCGGGGTCAAGTAAAACAGAAACAATTACGTAAAAGTAAACATACCATTCTCTGAGAGGCAGGGCCAAGGTCACGACTGAAAACACGCGCCCTGGAGCAAAACTAACCCTGTTTTCACATCTGCTCCTGGGCTCCTCCTGACTGGGGGACCTTCATGTAAGAAGGGAGGGAATAGTGTCTATTCCAGGGCTGTCGTCGTGGTTTATGTTGGGCAGTAAATGAGAGCACTGAAGTGAAGGGCTCAGAATACATGCATATGCTGAAGAAATGCTGCTCAGCAAATGGAGGCATCTCTCCCCCAGGAAGCAGCCATGTGGGTGATGGAGGTGGGACCAGCATGCTCTTGTCACTGCGGTGATGTCATAGCCAAAGCCACAGGCAGCAGAGTTATTATGTATAAGGCAGACTGCGTGTAGTCAGACACTTAGATGGGAATTTTATATCTCACATCTTCTAATCCTCACTACAGCCTGAAAATCAGGTGCTATTATCTCCACATTTCTGCCAACCGAGACCCAGGAAAGTTTAGTCATCCAATAAATGGATAAAATAGAATTTGAAGCTAAGTGTAATACTTTTGGATGGAAATTGAAAATTGATACTTGTTCAAGGAGGGGGATCATGGAACTAGGGCATCCTCCAGAAACTCAGCATAACCCCATAGGGTGGTAGAGGAAGGCTCTGGCCATAGACGAGTGAACTCAGTCTCAGCCCCTCTCCTCTGCCTGGCGGGCAGGGATCCACCTGAAAGTTCCAGCCCTCTCGGTAAGCAGTTGGTTCCCATGGGGACCAGCCCTCATGCTTAGGGGACCTAGGGACTTCCCAAAAGTCACCTGAGTAACACAATAATGCACACCTTTGTTGCTCAGATCCCTTAGGGTGTCCCAAGGGCTTTAGGGGCTCTGTGCCAATGGACCCCTACATTGCTGTTCAGTCACTCAATCATGTCCGACTCTTTGCAACCCCATGGACTGCAGCACACCAGGCTTCCCTGTCCATCACCAACTCCCGAAGCTTGCTCAAACTCATGGCCATTGAGTCAGTGATGCCATCAAACCATCTCGTCCTCTGCCGTCCCCTCCTCCCCCTGCCCTCAATCTTCCCCAGCATCAGGGTCTTTTCTAATGAGTCAGCTCTTTGCATCAGGTGGTCAAAGTATGGACCCCTACATACATACCAAGTATGTACCTCTCGTTGTGAATTGTGACATCACAGTATCATTAGTCAAAGACTTTGAGCTGGGATGAGAAGGGTCCCCACCCAGGGTTCCCCCAGAACCAGAGTGAAAATGAGGGAACATGGGAACCAGGAAATACAGTCCGAGAGTAACTGACTTAGTGTCAGTGATGCACCCAAGTCTCTCCATTCAGTCCACATAGGGCTCCCCTTCACGAACTTAAAACCTCTGCCACCACCTGGCAATTTCCTTACTTTATGTTATCCCATCTTATTTTGCTGTCCTACTTTTCAGGCTCTGAATCTGATATCTAACCAAAGATAGCAAGTTCCAACATCTATATTCTACAGTTTAGCCTTTTATGTTCACATTGTCTAAACTACTCGCAGCACACAGAAGTGTTCAGTAAATCCAGGGTGAATTAAGGAGATTTTCATGTTAATAGTATTAGCATTTATGATCTTTTTTTTGTACTAGGCTCTGTGCTAAGTGTTCTACATGCTAAGACTCATTTAATCTCTGCTCATAGCCCTGAAACGTAAGCACTCTATGAATGAAAGACGCTTCTTGATGTGTTGCAAGGATGCTGCTTTTGTTGCCATAGCAACAGAGGTCTGGAAATACAAATCCAATTTTAGAAGGCATAATCACTGTTTTGCTCCTCTTTTCTGTCACAATTTTAATGTGTTGTTAAGGGTATTCATATAAAGATAGCTGCAGAGGGAGGCCTGCCCCTGGGAGTTTTCTGTCATTGATGTCAGGTTTCCTACAACTGAAAGTGGATGTTCTAGAACCTAGACCCTCAGAATCCACTCAGCTCTCCCCTTCATGAACTGAGACGCACTGACCTCAGAGGTTCTTGGAACATGCTCAAGGCATATGAAACCAAAGGCAGAAAGCTGGTGTATATTTAGGGATCTTGGCTTTAATTCAATTGTTAAATGAAAATGAGTGAAAACATTAGTCTTATGCTGTAATTGGCATGCTAACTCATGGAGAAGTCAGTGTTTGCAAGAATGTTTCATATAAGTTTGGAGTTTTAAGCTGCTGCCATGGATTGTTCAGACTTCCATGGTTTCTGCCCAGGTTCTTTGGGAGCCCAGAATGGGTCCCAGGAATCTCTGGTGTGCAGGCAGTCTCATGTCTAAAAAGAAACTGTATCTAAAAATGTCCTTAGCAAGAGGTAAGGACTGTACCCTTTATATTGCACTGTCTACTGGAGCCTGTAATAAGTCTTGGATAGTCATTCAATGCAGAATGAAAGCATAAATACAGTTTTGTAAAAAAAAAAAAAAGATGCTGAAGAGATATATACAAATTTACAGAAATATATATGTATGTGCTACAGATTTCCAAGTTTCAAAAGGTAATTGAAAGTCAAAATGCGGTAGTCCATTTTTCTTACATTTTTGTTTTAGTAAAATATGCATCTTGCAAAGTTTACCATTTTAAAGATTCTTAATAGTGATTTTTAATATTTTCAGTTCAGTACTGTTAAATACATTCACCTGTGTTGGAACCATCAGCACCATTCATTCCCAGAACTATCTCATCTGCCCAAAATGAAGTCCCAGCAAACACACACACACACTGCTTTTGTTTGCAACAGCTATCACAGTAAACACTGCATGAAGATTCTTGAAACACTCATGTATATACACATCCGTCTCTCCTATTATGGGATGGTCATATCAGATGAATTCCAAGACATTGAAAAC